AAAAGTTGCTTATTAAAATGTTTTTACATTTCTAGAAGACATCTTTTTAAATTTTCATTTTTATTAGTTTCTGATTCTACTGCATTGTGGGTCAAAAAATTATGTTTTCATTATTTTTATTTTTAGAATTTATTACTTCTCAAATTTATTTATTTTCTTCATGACCTAAGATGCAATCAATTTTCATGAATGTTCATGTGCACTCAAAATGAAGGTACAGAAGGCTGACAATGGACCCCAAATATATTAGGTCTTATGCTTAGAACCTGGAAATATACTACTCTATAAAGGAATATAAAAAAGGGTCTGCATGTATGATTAAGTTAAGGATTTATAGATGGGGGATTATCCTGATTTATCCAACTGGGCCCTGTATGCAATTACAAGCATCTTTATGACAGAGGGACAGAGAAAGACTTGACACAAAGGAGAAGGGTTTCTAAAGATGTAATAGAAAGAAATATGAGGATGCTGGCCTTTATTGGAATGATGCACCCTGCCAACATCTTCATTTTGGTGTAACGAATTCTGGACTTCTAGCCTCCAGAATGCAATGGAATGAATTCCTACTCAAGAGGGTAGGAATTTGTCACAGCAGCCATAGTAATACTAATAAATAAGGTGTTTCCTTTATGTATCAAGATTCAGGGATTTGTACATATGTCTATCTTCTACATTACTGCTTATCTTTCTGGATTCTATATTCTTCTGATTTTTTCCCCCACTTACTCTGTCTCAGATTGAGAGAAATATACCAAAGCCTCCTGAGTTTCTGCTTCTCCTGCATCTTCTGTTGTTTCTGCTTGGGTGAAAATTTTGTCACGTTTTTTGGTACATAACATTAGCATTAATCACTATTCTATCTTTAGTCCATATTGTAGCCTTTAGCCTTTAGCATTGTAAAGTGCCCTTTGTGCTCTTGTAAACAACAGAATGTGAGTGTTACTTTGTTAGCCAATACTTAAATTCTTATCAGGGTGCCTGGGCAGCTCAGTCAGTTAAACATCTGTCCTGGGATCAAGCCCTGCTTGGGCTCCCTGCTCAGCAAGGACACTGCTTCTCTCTCTCTCCCTCTGCCCCTCCTCCTTGCTTGTATGCTCTTTCTAATAAACAAATAAATCTTTAAAAAAATAAAATCCTTTTATAGGTGAATTAAACCTACATATTTATTAATATAATGTATATGCTTGGCCTCAGTTCCATCAGTACAGACAGACAGTCATCCATGGTCTGCTTTATTTGTTTGCATTCTCTCTTTCTTTTGGTGTTTAGGAAAGCTTATATTTTTTCTCTAAGGTTACCTTTATATAATAACCAAATCCTCTCTTTTTTGGGATACTGCCTATCACTTGCCTATTATGAACAATGTTGGAATTTGCTAGAAATTTTTTCTTTCTCCTTCCCTCCTGCTTCTTCAGCACCTAATGTAAAATAATGGCTTTTTTTCTTCTAATCGGCACCAATAGAGCAATCAGCAAGCTAGTCTCATTTCCAAACATTCTTTATCTTATCTCCCCACTTTTGATAGTTATATAAATAGTTATAGTTTTGGATAGTTAATACATTTTTTATAATTCTATTGTTCCTACAGTGCAGAGCAGATAAGATTGTAGAATGACCAACCATTTCCATTATTTTGATCACTTAGGCATGGTAGTAGAGATTAATATATAATCAATTCCCCTTGAATATGGAAGACAAAATTCAATTTCCTGGGTTATCTTACAAACTGGACACAAGCAAGTGACTAAGTTCTGACAATCAGAACTTTGATCCAGAAGTAAAGAATGTTAGGAAGCCGTGCATGCGCCATTTCTCCTGGAAAAGCTAGTAGCCCAGGCATCCAGCTTCCACAGGTAATAATGAAAGAGAAGTTTCCTAACAATTTGAAGGTCATATTCCTGAGGCAGAAGTGGCATTGGTGCTGGTAGCAGTAGTAGCTGTAATAAGATCTAATTTCTGGTATTTGTACTTTGCAGCCAGGATATAAGTGGTAGAAGTTTCCTAACGGGCCAATTCTCCAACTTGGCTTTGAACCCTATGTTTGAGATTGTTTCTTTAGCCTCCAGCTTAACATTACTGTTAACTTCCTAAAATATTTTCCTTTATTCCCCAGCTCTGCTTAAATTAACCGGAGTAGATACTGTAGTTTGCATCCAAAAGCCCTGTCTCAAATTATACCTGGAGGGTCACACACTTCCTATTATTCTTGCAGAAACTGAAGGATAAATAAGTTATGCTAACGCACCGAACACATAAACACAATAGTGCTCAGCAAGTATTAAGTTTCCCTCTGGGTTCCCTGAGGAGGTAAATAATGGGTACACAGGCAGCCATGCTAGATCATGTTGAAGTTTCTGAAATAGATCTGCATTTACTAAAGATCTATTTGAGCACTAGACAGAGAATGTCAAAATCTCAAATGCTTCTTAGAATCTTCTTAGTCTATTAAACTCAAGAGCAAAGTTGACAAGCTTTACAGGCATGACTGGCTAGAAAAGTCATGGCACCCACTGCAAAATGAAAACGCAGGGTCCTTAAAAAAAAAAAAAAAAAAAAAAAACTTCAATGGGGAGCACCTGGGTGGCTCAGTTGGATAAGGGCCTGACTTTGATTTTGGCTCAGGTCATGATCTGAGGGTTGTGAGATCAAGTCCTGTGTGAAGCTACGTGCTAGGCATGGAGCCTGCTTGGGATTCTCTCCCTCTCACTCTGCCCCCACCCCCTGCTCATACAAGTAGGTGTGTGCATGCATGCATTCTCTCTCTCTCTCTCTCTTTCTCAAAACAAAACAATAATGAATTTCAATATGGCAACAGTATTAAACCAAGCACAGGGTCCTTCTAAGCGTGCGTGTCCACGAAGCCTGCCCTGTCTACATGAAGCACTTCTGATCTCTTTCTCATCTGTTGGTGTTAAGAATAGAGAATATTGGGATCCCTGGGTGGCGCAGCGGTTTGGCGCCTGCCTTTGGCCCAGGGCGCAATCCTGGAGACCCGGGACCGAATCCCACGTCGGGCTCCCGGTGCATGGAGCCTGCTTCTCCCTCTGCCTGTGTCTCTGCCTCTCTCTCTCTCATTCTATGTGACTATCATAAATAAATAAAAAAAAATTAAAAAAAAAAAAAAAAGAATAGAGAATACGACAGGGACATCTGGATCCCTCTCTCTATTGCCACCTCTAACTTCTGTTTAAAACAAGCAAGCCGTGATATTTATGTACGAGAACTGGCACAACAAAAGGCTTTCCAGCCAACCATACAGAATTACTTCAGTGGTGCAATCACATTTCAAAATTATAATTATAAAATTGCATCAGTCATACAAAAACATGTTCACTTTAAGGCAAAAGTATACAATAATGAATGATCACTTTAAGGCAAAAAGTGAAATACACGTGTTCACCTTAAATATTGAAAGACAGGATGTCAACGCCAAAAGGAACCAGAGAGAATCCAAGCCCTCTGGGGTTATATTTGGGGGAAATTGAGTCTTAATTAGGCTAATTGCCTGCCTACAGCGACATAACCAGGTAGTCCTGAATAGAGAAAAGAATCTGTGGCTTCTGAAATCCAGTTTAAATTTGCCTCTTTTTACATAGTGCCACCTCCTTTGCCTTTCATCTCAGAAGTACTGCAGTGGTTAACCAATTTTCTCCCCCAGCCATGAACATCCACAACAAAAGTAAGAATACCAGAGAATTTAAAAAAAAAAAAAATTTTTTTTTTTACCCTGAACCTCAAATCACAGTTCAGATCATTTAGGTCAAGCCTTATTTCAAATATACCATCCACTGATATCACATAACTGTGGAATTTTTAGAAAAATGTTTTATTTTAAGCAGAAACTGAACCTAGACCCTGAAAATATATATGTAAATTTTCTCAGAGGGCTGGCCAATTCTCTTTATATGGAGAAAAGACAGAAAATCAATGTGCAACAGCAACCTACTTACACTGGAATTTCCTTTGGATTTTGTTTATGTTGATTTGGCCAAATTTCCTTTTCCTTACATTTCATTCTGCTGCCAGTGTTAGCTCATTAAGTATTTGAGGGGGGGGAAGGGACAGCCTTCCCCCACGAAACCTCTACATTTCTGAATTAGTAATGAGCTACCCTGTAGTCCTTCTTTTCCATTTCTCTCAGACTAACACACATTTTGTTTATTCACTTTTCAATGTGGAAAAAAAAAAAGTCTCCAGAAATCTTTTGGAAGTAGTCCAAGCTTCAACATACCTGCTCATTTTCTACTTTGAAGATATAAGAATAAAACAGCTCAGGGAAGAACTGCTAGGTGCATTGCTTATTTTCATGCCAAAAGCTACGTAAACCACATCATCACTTTACCTTTGTGGGATTGCAAATAAAGATCATCAAAACTATTAGCGGCTGATTTTCTTGGGCCTCGGGAATTGCTTGATGGTTTGCTTGATGGTATCTAAGGTACCCAGTGCTCTATAGCAATCCTTACATTTATAATGCTACTGCTACTATTGAGCTGCAAATGGAAAGAAGAAAAATTAGTTTTTCCGATACACCATTACAGCGCAATTAAACTCCCCACGAATAATGCCGTTAGAAACTTCTAGTAAGATTGTGAATGAACCCCCTGCTCTTCCATTTGAGTGTTCAAATTCACAGGTTCCCAAGGCAAGCTAAGGTACATCTCGACTCCAATTATGCATACAGATTTTCCCAGCATGCCAAATCAGCTAAGCCGTTAACTCTGGCAGCCTAGAAGTTGGCCGACCCCGACTACCGCGACACCAAAGCCCGCTCTGCCCCGAGCTCCCTCCCAGAGCTGTTTGCCAGCATCACCTCTCCACCTGTCTCACCCCCATCCTCCCGCCCCGCCCCTTACCTTGGTCCCGTCTCCCGCGCTCAGGCGCGTTTTCCACGCCCCCTTACGTTCAGCCAATAGTTGGTCACGTTTGTGGGAGGGGCGGGGCCTTCCCTCCCAGCCAATGGGGGAGAGCCTCGCTGTCCTGGTCCCGCCCCTGCCAGCATCTCCTGCCGGAAGATGGCGGCGGCCGCGGAGTTGACGCTGTTGGAGAAGTCCCTGGGGCTGAGTAAAGGGAACAAATACAGCGCTCAGGGCGAGCGCCAGGTGAGAAGCGGGGAGTGGAGGGGAAGCGGTGGACAGGAGCGCAGGGAAGACGGGCTGGCCGGCGGAGATGGAGGATGCGGTCCTGTCCTCCCCACGTGTCTGCGCCGCAGGGCGGGCGGGCTGGCGTCTCGGGCTCCTGCGGCCCTGGCTGCGCCCCGCTGCGGCTTGGCCTGACCTTTAATTTTTTTTATTTTATTTATTCATGAGAGACAGAGAGAGAGAGAGAGAGAGAGGCCGAGACAGAAGCAGGCAGGGAGCCGGATGCGGGACTCGATCCGGGGTCTCCAGGGTCACGCCCCGGGCTGGAGGCGGCGCTAACCACTGGGCCACCCGGGCATCCCTTGAACCGCGGAGACTGTCGTCCTGTCCTGGGAAGGCGAGCAGGGCCCGGACACCAGCGTGGAGGCCCCGCGTTCGCGTCCGGTGACAGCGCTCGCTGCAGCCCGGCCTTGCGTTCCGAGCCGCGCCGCGCGGTGCCGGGTGGGAGGGACCGGGGGCCGCTTGCAGCTGCGGTGGAGAAGCCCGACCCCCTCCCTCCTCGGGGAGCCGGGTTGTCCCCTAGGAGGACACACCTGGCTGCTTTTTTTTTTATTAACGGCAGTAAGTGGAAAGTGCTACGTGGGAGCGGACGGAGGCTGCAGACCGAGCAGCACATCGCTGGCCTTGGGCCCGCCTGTAGGAGGTTGCAGGAAGGTTTCTTCCTGAGCTGCTCGATTTCAGTGTGCGACGTGCGCAGGACGAAGGGGAAGGTGAATACAGCCTGAAGTTGGTAAGGTTCTTGGACTGGGCTTTCTCAGGCGTCGAAGAGCATTTGCGCTTCGTAAACGTGGTGGTTGGACGTGGATGGAATGCGTTAGGAAAGGAGGAGGATGGTAGGGAGGCTGCTCTGGGGAGAGAGCGTTTTTGGGCCCCCTTGAGATTTTTTTTTTCCCCCATGTGATGTTTCTTTTTTTTTTTTTTTTTTTTGTTCTTAGTTTTTCATTCTTCGTTTGGTTTATGCGAGAAGCAGTCAATACACATCAGTTAAACTGAAACCGTGAAAGGCCTTGGAGACAAAGCCGCCTGCTTTTGCTTTTTCCTCCAGCCTCATGCGGCGGATTCTGGTTCCTTCCCTTTACCAGCTGCTCCCCAGTTTGGTTTCTGTTTTTTGGGGTTTTTGTTTTGTTTTTGTGTTTTGTTTTGAGAACGTTGCCAAGTCAGGAATTTTGCCCTCAGGAAGCTTATCTAGTATGAGAAGAAACCGTCATTGGCAATTAATTTAAGGCAGAATAGAATATACACACTAAACAGAGGAAACGTTGTTGAAGAATGAGGGGGAGAAAATTCATTTCGATTGTAAGAACGGATTTGTAGAATGCACAGAGAAGCTGGTGTTTGAAGCATGTAAGACCAAAATTACGGAAGATTGGGAAGTTTGGGGCAAGAAGCAGATCCACATGAAGTGCTACAACACAAAGTAAGCCCAAAATTATAGTTTGAGCCCTCTTGGGAGGGCTTTGGAGTTCAGAGTGTGGTTTCTTATTTTATTCTAATTTAAACTTTTTTTTTTTCTTTTTTGGTCTCAGCAAAGGGCAGCTATTAAAAATTTCTATTTATATGTTTGGAGAAAGGGATGGGAATATATGAAAAGATTCAGTCCTTTTATGTATTTATTTGGTGAGAGGAGGAGCCCACTGACAGCAGTAAGCCAACAATGATGTGAAAATATTGGGGTCCTAGAATGAATGATCAAGTAAGAATTCTTGAAGCATCTTCGATGCAAAAAGGGTGGTTTTGTTAAAGCATAGGGACAGGACCGTGGGCAGAAGGAGCTGCTCTGGGGTTGTGAGGAGTGTCTGATTTTGTACTTTCAAGTTGGGAAGGGGTTAGGGAGAGTGTAGGCCTCTAAGGCATTTGGAAGCTAGGTTTCCAGGACCTTGAGGAGGTCAGCTATTGTTAGGAAAAGGTCATTTATTACTGTCTAGTAAAACCCCTAGTAAGACCTTTCAGATGTATGTCAGTGGGCCATATGCTTGGAGGATGATTGCCAACATATATCTTGGGGGGTAGAGATAAAGGAAGTTTCAAAAGGGATTTTTATACATTAAAGAAGACTTGGAGGTCGGGCTAATGTTAAGCCAAAGTTGGCTTTTGCCCTTAGCAAAGTATTAACATCGTGGCAGTTGAGTTCCTAGAGGAATATCATCACTCTGCCTGTCTTGAACACCTGTCAATGGGCTGCAAATCACAAGGAAACAATTTTTTTCTTTTGCCTTTGTTCTCCACATGAAGCAATAAGGCATTCCCCCGTAACATTATCAACTATATAGTAGTCACCCTCTCTACCCATGGTTTCAATATCTGCAGTTTCAGTTACCCAGGGTTAGCTATGCCCAGAAACAGATACTCCTCCTTCTGACATAGTGTCAGAAGGTCAGGAGTAGCCTAGCACTGTGTCACAATGCCTACGTCATTCACCTCACTTCATCTGCTTACATGGGCATTTTGAAGTCTTACATCATCACAAGAAGTGTGAGTTGAGTAGAACAGGATATTTTGAGAGAGACTGACCACATTCACATAACTTTTATTACAATATATTATAATTGTTATACTTTATTGTTAGTTATTGCTGTTAATCTCGTACTGTACCTAATTTAGGACTTCAATTTTATCATATCATATTTATGTATAGGGAAAAAACATAGTATATATAGGTTTTGGTACTATCCATGGTTTCAGACCTCCCCTAGGGGTATTGGAACATATTCCCCACAGGTAAGGGGAGGGAACTACATAATTTAAAACAATCTAGGGTAGTCTGGCTGGCTCAGTAGAGGATGCAACTCTTGATCTCTCAGGGTCATGAGTTCGAGCCCCATATTGGGTGTAGAGATTATTTAAGGAAATTTTTTAAAAAATGGAAAACAATCCAGAGGTCCAGCTTTAGGAGAATGGTTCGTTAAATTATAGTACATCAACACATTGTAATAGTTCTTATTTGCCATCGTCAGTGATTGCTTAGAAGACCATGGCATCCTAAGATGAATATGGAAAAAGTATGTGTCTCACAATTGCAAGTACTTAAGATTTGTGTACGTGAGGCTGTATGAAGCAAAGACAAGGGACTTTCGAGTCAGTCTTACTTTATCTAAATCTGATCCTGCCATGACAAAGCAAGTGACCTTGGTTCTTTGTCCATAACGATGATGACAAAATTACTCACCAACTTAGAAGATGCAATGAGAAGGTAACTGGGAAGTTTTTGAGTTAACAGTGTAGGATTGTGGATAATTTATTTTTACAAATAATTCTCTTTAGAATTAAATGTCATTTCCCCTCACACACTCATTGATTGCAAGTTCTTTTTCCGTTTTTGTTTTGTTTTATAAGTATAACATACCTTCAGAAAAGCGAATAAATCTTGATGCGTTCCCACAAAGTGAACACAGGTGGCTAACCTCACACAGAACCAACACCCCCAGGGAATTCCTTATTATTTTCTTTCAGTGCATTTTTTTGAAAGAATATTATTGGTGATCATAGAGGTAGAGGCTTCATTTGAGTGTAAAGGCAAAAGTGAAAATTAAGCTAAGTAGTGAGTGGGAAGTAGGTAAGGAAGTAGAAAATCAGAGTACCTTTCATTAATTCCTATAACATGTAGGAGATAACCTTGGAATTTGTATTTGTAAAATGTTAATCTCTCTGTACACCTCCCAGAGTCCTGTTGACCTAGATGTGAGCAGGGAAGTGCCCTGCAAGGTGTAAATCATCTTACAAGTACAAGATACTATTTAATGACTGCAAAAACCATTCGTCTTCCCAAGAAAATACTCTTTTTTGGTTTGTTTGGGTCGTTTAGATTGTATATTATTATTTGTAACTGGTCAGTCTCCCAGTCTGATTATCCCCTTCTTTTAAATTTCTCATAGTGCTTTGCTTGGTTGTGCATCAAGAACATTTAAATTAATTGGCAATTTCTTACAATCCGAACCTTTGTATTGCCGTTCGAATAAGGGAAACAAAAACAGGATTATTTTTCAGATGATTACCTGAGCCCAGGCTACTATCAGTGGCCTCAGCTGTATTTCGGAACATTTTTTTTAAATATGAAATATTGGCCAATAGTGATTTCACTCTAAATGATTCCAAAATTGATGGATATGCAGTTCAGAGCAACCAAGTCACTGTCTCAGTCCATATCTACCTAATTAACGAGATAGTGAATTACATTAGATCACATATCACTAAAACCAGCCCAGATCTCATTTGGTGGTTCTAACTACATCAACATTAAGTCACTGTTACTATAATTGTATCCTTTTGTTATTACAGAAGTCAGATTTAAGTTTGTTCGTCTTGCTAAAATTAGAGTATTGGTAAACTTGACTAAAATCAATGCAGTATTCCAGGATTTCCTTTTTTTCCTCTTGTATATGCACAGTTGTAAATTATATAGAAATATATTGATTTTTGCAATGTTACTACTGGTTTCACTTCAAACATCTGTTATCAAATTGTAAATAACTACTATTTTCCTGATTTTCGTTTGAATATGATTTAGTGTTTTAGAGTAGAATCCTAGGGCGTTTGAAAGAACAGTGAGAGATTTAGTGATTACTTAGAACTTAGGGTCATGGGCACCTGGGTGGCTCAGTCAGTTAAGCGTCTGCCTTCATCTCAGTTCCTGATCCCAGGGTGCTGGGATAGAGGCCCACATCAGGCTCCCTGCTCAGTGGGGACTCTCCTTCTCCCCCTAACCCCTCCCTCATTTTATCTTTTTCTCTCAAATAAATAAAATCTTTAAAAAGAAGAAGAAGAATTTAAGGTCATGATGGTATTTGTGTTTTAAATTTATCTGAAGAACTTTTTTTTTTCTTAAGATTCCAGTTCTTCAAACAAACAATGGTCCGAGTCTAACAGGACTGACAACTATAGCAGCTCATCTTGTCAAGCAGGCCAACAAAGAATATTTGCTTGGGAGCACTGCAGAAGAAAAAGCGATTGTTCAGCAGTGGTTGGAATACAGGGTAACTCGAGTAGATGGACACTCCAATAAAGATGATATCCGCACTCTGTTGAAGGTACTGTGACTTCTCTTTTAAAATGCGTGAACTATTAGTAGCAGGAAGCTCTCCCCCTTGAGATTCACTAGCCAAAGCCATTGGCCTTCTTGTTTCCTTCTGCCTTAGGGTAGTTTTTACCTGTTACCACCTGTACTGGAGACAGGACTATGCCCGCCTTCCCCCTTAGATCTCAGCCCCTTCCCCAAAAATTTCTTGACCACCTCTCTCCGTAACACATATAGGTCCTTGTTCTATATGCTTGTTCTTAACACTCAACACAGTCAACAGTTATTTGTATGATTTTTTTTTTAATGTGATGTCTTAATACTTAGTTTCTCCACTCAGCAGTAAAATACTTTCTCAAAGGCAAGAAGGGAATCAGAATCTTTGAGAGCTACTGAGAAAAACTGTTAGATTGATCTGAGAAATAAGAAAGCCCATGTTTTTTTCCTTGAGACCTACTGCTTTTAAGATTTGTATTTTCTTTCCAAAGAAGCAAAATCAGAATGAAAGGCTCTGTTGGTACAAGGTATAAGCTGAATATGGCACCAGAGTCACCAGCAGTGGAAAACATTCCAAATGATATTTATTAATTATTTACATAAAAATAAAGTGGATTAAAACCAAATTTTTAATAAAAGCTTAGAATTTGAAGGAAATTTAGAAATCATCCAACAACCACACATCACTGCAGGAATCCCTTCTGTTTTCTGATTTTATTCCCATTATCATATAAATTGATAGTGTAAGTTGTGCAAGAAGGTCTCATAGAACTGAAAGCATTTCATTTGTCACTCTAGGGGGAATGGTTTTAACTATTTTTGATAGCTATCAAGAGAACTGGTAGAAAATAAATTTTAGGACTTGTACCTTTATAGGTCTATTCATGCTCTATATCCATACTGACCCCTCCCACTGGTCTCTGCCATGCTCAGCAGCCTTTCCACAGGGAAGCAAGCATGTCTTTCCTCTAAGGGAATGTAAGATTTCAGCCAAATAAAATATAAATATAACTCTCATAATTTTCCAGAAGAAAGGATAGTAATAAAGTACTTAGTTCTAAAAGATACGAACAGGATTTCACTGAATCAGGTTTATGAATTCAAAGTTGTAGTCAGAGATTTGGTATTAAGAACATGGAAGTAGGGATCCGTGGGTGGTGCAGCGGTTTGGCGACTGCCTTTGGCCCAGGGCGCGATCCTGGAGACCCGTGATCGAATCCCACATCGGGCTCCCAGTGCATGGAGCCTGCTTCTCCCTCTGCCTGTGTCTCTGCCTCTCTCTCTGTCTCTCTCTGTGTGACTATCATAAATAAATAAAAATTAAAAAAAAAAAAAAGAACATGGAAGTAATTCTACCAAAACGTTGTATTTGGGTTATGTAAATATTATTTGTAATTCCAATCAAGAGACTCTTGACTGGAGATAGTACCATTTTTGAAATGTACAAGGGAACAGATGATTTGGTTGTCATCCTTGCTCTGCCACTTTGCTTATCTGTACCTGCACTGATGTGCCAGATGCGGTTCTAAGGGCCAGTGGTACAGTAACAGTCCCTGCCCGTGCAGAGCTCAGAGCAGTGGGGGAGACAAATGTATAATGTACATTATACATAATGTACTACAGTGTGATTTTTGCCGTATGAGCATAGATGAGAAAGGGTTGTTTTCTGTTTTGTTTTGCCTTTTGCTGTTTTTGTCTTAAAGGCAATAAAAATTTATTATAAAAATTTAGGAGATATAAATAAGGTAAAAAAATTCCAAGCCTTAGTAGTTCCACTAAAAGAGAAGTGCTAATAACACTTATATTTAATCATCAAATATTTATTGAACTCCCTTTGTGATCTTCCATGCTTTTCCTTTCCGTATAGACATGCGTTTTTTATTTTGCAAGTGGGCACTTGTTGGACACTGTAACTTGCATTTTTTTGTTCATTGACATTGTGTTGTGAACATCTTTCGTGTCCACAAAGTACTCATTTATACTATCTTTTTGAGAACCCGTTAGTATTGCATCACATAGTTGTACCAGAATTTAAATCATTTTTAAAAATTTCCTTGTATGTATGCTTTACCCCTTTTAATACTGGGCTATTTATCTTTGTATTACTTATTTTTACTTCATACTCTCTAAAGTTCCATTTTAGGTTAAAACCACGACTCTAAGCTTAAATGGCTCATAATTAAGGTAATACATAATTTCAAAATGGCAGGCATTGCAGAGCACTAATATATTGAATCTAGATGGAGGATATATAGCTGTTTATTATACTGCTTTTTTAAAGTTGCTAGAAAATGTAATACTAATTAGGGAAAAAACTCAGGTAGAACTCTAGAGGAGGGGAATACTTGATAAAGTTTGGAAGTGGCACGGGAAAGTCTTATTTAAAACAAAGGAGTTGAACATTGTTAATTCTGGGAATATTCTGAATATATGAAATTCTGTAATATAGTAATATAACAGAGAAAATTTGAATATCACTAAGAAAAATATACTTAATTATAAAGATGTTTTAAAGACAGCAACCTTAGAGTCTCTGTTACTAAAACTTACACATGGATTCTATTTTAAGAATACATACAGTGTACAAAAGCAGTGTTAAATTATGTAGAATTATTTAGCAATTTTTAAAAATGCTTCTTAAAATTAAATCGAAGGTAATTTTATTTTACTCTTCAACTTTATCCAAGCTGTTTCATTTGAAGACATTTAGAGAGAAACCATCTACATTCAGCAGATCACTATATAATTTAAGTGGTAGCTTCTTATATGCCAGTCCGTTCACCCTCCATACCCGAACTTTATTTTGATTTTTCTGCATTTGTCTCCTTTTTGTCCATATTCTGTTATGCCCTCATCTGTAACACCCCTAGCAGTTCCATGTTTATATAGCATTTTGAAAATTACGGTCTTCAGATGAAGACATGGGCATACTCAAAGAGATTAAATTCATTTCAGCAAATAATTACTACTTATGGAACTACCATTTGCCAGGCATTTGGGATGTGCTTTGAGAAAACAAAATGTTCTCTCCAGTTTACGGAATTTTTCTGGAATAAGTACTATTGACCACTGACCACTATAACTATTCCTTAGAGGGCCCTCTGAGGATATCTGATAATAATCCATGTAACTGATTTATAAATCTTTGTCTAAAGGTTGTATGAATCTTTTGTCTCATTTGATTTTAATGTAATGTAATGAATGCAGCATGAATTCCTGTGCTTTTAAAGTACATGTTAATTTTGAGAGGAATCCAAAGTACTCATATCTTTTTTTTAATCTACATTTTTTTCTTTTCTCAGGAAGCTAATTGATTCATTCATACTGGTCTGTTAGACTTTACTTCTAATTTAGATTAGGATCTCTTAAGATTTTTATTTCATTTTTTAACATGTACTTTAATTATTTTTTTCCTTCCAAAGTACCTATTGGCCACTGAGGGAGCTCCGTGCTTACTAGTATTTTGTTGTTAAAGATTTCAAATCAATTATTTTGTGTATGTTTAACATTGCCCTTTGAAGATTGATGATTATAGTTTGGTGAACAAATGGCAAAGAACTTTCTGTAGCTTTGGTGTTTAAAACTGGAGTCCTTCAGTGGTGGCTCAGTCAGTTAAGTGTGGGATTCTTGGTTTGGCTCAGGTCATGATCTCATGGGTCGTGAGATGGAGCTCTGCAGAGGGCTGTACACTCAGCACACCCACACGTGCATATACCCCCTCTTTCTCTCTCAGGTAAATAAATCTTAAAAAAAAAAAAAAAAAAAACCTGTGGAGTCTTGCAGATTTTGGAAAAAGCTGGATCTCCAATTATAAAAGAATGAAGTTGGAATGTTACTTTACATGATATATAGAAGTTAACTTCAAATTGGATTGAAGTCCTGAATGTAAAACCTAAATTTATAAAACTCTTAGAAGAAAACCTAGGGGGGAAAATATGTTGTTTGATTTGGCAGTGATTTCTTGGGTATGACACAAAAGTACAGGCAACAAAAGTAAAAATGGATAAATTGGACTACATCAAAATTTATAACTGTGCATTAATGGACACAATCAACAGAATGAAAAGGCAACCCATGGAATGGGAAAAAATACTTGTAAAGCATGTAACTGATAAATAATTAATATCCAAAATATATAAAGAACTCTTACAACTCAGCAACAAAAAAACTAAGAACCCAGTTAAAAGTGTAAAATGGTGCAGCTCTATGAAAAACAATATGCTGGTTCCTCAAAAGATTAAAAATAGACTTACCATATATTCAATAATTCTACTTACGGGTATATACCCAGTGGGCCTTGAGAGATACGTGTACACCCATATCCATAGCAATATTATTGACAGTAGCTGAGAAGTGGAAACAACACATGCGTCCATTTACAGATGACTAGATAAAGTATATATGTAAACAATGGAATATGATTTAACCTCAAAAGAGAAGAAAATTCGAACCGTGAGGGTATTATGGTAAGTATAAGCTAGTCACAAAAAGACAAATGCCCTATGGTTCCACTTACATGCAGTATCTAAAGTCGTCAGTTCATAGAAATAGAAAGAATGGTGGTTGCCAGGGTCTGGGGTGAGGGGGATGTGGGGAAGTGTTAATAGGATAGAGTTTTAGTTTTGCAAGGTGAAAAAATTCTGAAGACTGGTTACACAACAGTGTGGATACCCCTGATATTTACTGAATTATACACTTAAAAGTGACTAAATGGTAACATTAATTAAAAACTTTTAAATATACATATATAAAAAATGCAGCAAATCAATAAACTATAATTCTTAAAGAGCTTTTTATATTTTAATGGAAAAAGTAAATCTGGGGCAGCCCAGGTGGCTCAGCAGTTTAGCGCCGCTTTCAGCCCAGGGTGTGATCCTGGAGACCCGGGATCAAGTCCCACATCAGGCTCCCTGCATGGAGCCTGCTTCTCCCTCTGCCTGTGTCTGTGCCTCTCTCTCTCTGTGTGTCTTTCATGAATAAATAAAAATCTTAAAAAAAAGAAAAGAAAGAAAGAAAAGAAAAAGTAAATCTAACAACATAATTTACAAAATGATCTCCCCTCCCTCAAAATTGGTGTCTTTGAAATGGTCATAGATGGCATTTTGAATAGCATTTTTTAAAGTTTTCTTATTTCTTTAAAATAAAATAAGATTAATAATGTTTGCCCTATTTTTAAAAATGAGGTGATTGACATATTATCTGTTCTTTTGAATAAAACTGAGTCTATGAATGTCAGATTCAATTTATCAAATTAAGTCAGTGTTTTGTTTTCTAATAGTCTTCTAAATGTTTAAAGTCCAATGATATGGTAGCTATTATTACTGGGTAGGGTTTTTTTTTTCAAATATTTATTTATTTGAGAGAGAGAGAAAGAGCAAGCATGCATACATGCGTATGCATGAGTGGGAGGTGAAGGAGGGACAGAGGGAAACGGAGAATCTAAAGCCGACTCCGCACTGAGTGTGGAGCCTACTGTGGGGCTTCATCAAATGACCTGAGCCAAAATCAAGAGTTGGATACTTAATATGCTAAACCACCCAGGGGCCCCAATTATTACTGTTTTTTAAATTAAAATTTTATATATTTGTTTTTGTTTTAGGATCTTAATTCGTATCTTGAAGATAAAGTGTACCTTACAGGATATAACTTTACCTTAGCAGATATCCTATTATACTACGGACTTCATCGCTTTATAGTGAGTATTTAAATAGTCATTAGTTTTTTCCTCTGTAATGTTCAGAATGATTTTTTTGTCTTAAATTTAGGTCATTTTTGCATTTTTGCCTTCTCAAATAAAAATGAATTATTTTTATACAAGGTACTTATGTACGTATTCCTTCCACAAATCCATCAAATATAGTAGCTTCCTGTTTGCTTCCTGTTGTTTCTACTCTTGTTCACAACTACTTCTCTTGCTGCCCTTTGAACTTGATTGTCATCACCTGGCCCCCATCAACACCGTCCCACTCTCCTTGTAACATCTTAATTCCAGTACCCCATGTTCTGTGCGGCCTCTAATCCTTAGTTTTTAATCTCTTACTCACTAATCCCACCATTATCTGAAGCAAGTAGATTCCTTCCCATTTTCCAAACTTAGGTACTTTTTCCCCATCCAACCTAGATCCCCTTTTGTGTAACTTCTGATACTTTTGTTAGTGTCTTCAGCTTTGCTCCACTGTACATTCACCACCCTTTGCCTGTAAATCCCCACCTCTTGCTCACTTCTAATAATTGCCTTCAATCCCATATCCGGGCTGAGATCTGTTGGAGAAATCCCAAAGCCACAGATTGGTGCCACTATAAATTTATACTATTCAGTTTCAGCCAGGCTCTCCTACGGATCAGATCTTTCATTCCTCCCAGGCATACTTCCAGACTTCTAGCACTTTCCTTAACCCCATTCTTTCCCTCTCCCTTTATCTTCAGTTATCATGCAGTGGTCCTCCCTGTTTGAGCTAGAAATTTGAGACTGTTCTTTTGAATGCCCTTATCTCCCACCCCACCTGAACACTCATCCTCATCTGTCTTGTCTCCTCCCTCTGCCCTCTTACTTGAACTCACCCTCCTGCCCCCCCCTTTTTTTAAGATTTCATTTATTTATGAGAGAGAGAGAGAGAAAGGCAGAGACACAGGCAGAGGAAGAAGCAGGCACCATGCAGGATGCCTAATGTGGGACTCAGTCCCAGGTCTCCAGAGCCATGACCTGGGCCGAAGGCAATGCTAAACCGCTGAGCCACCCAGGCTGCCCTCCTACCCCCTTTCTGCCCCAATTTTGTATCCTTCCTTTCCCATATGTGCAATTTTTCCTTTTATCTGATCAGTCTCTGTATTTTTTTTAAATTTGTTTATATATTTTAGAGAGAGTGAGAGTGTGAGTTGCGGGAGGGAGAGAGAGAATCCTTAAGCAGATTGCCCGCTGAGTGCAGAGCCCAAATCAGGGCTCAATCTCAGGACCCTGAGATCAAGACCTGAGATGAAATCAAGAGAAGCCCAGCTGACCAAGCCACCCAGGTACCCAATGGTCAGTCTCTAAATTGTATTAATTCTTCAATTTATTTACAGACAATTATATGGTACTGGCTATATTCTCTGTGCTTCCTAAATGTTAATTAATTTAATCCTCATAACCCCTATGAGGTAGGTACTATTACTATCATCCCCATTTGCAAAGGAAGTAAGAGAGCCACAAAGAGCTCCGATACCTTCCTAACAATGACCCAGTTAGTAGCAAAACCAGGTCTGGAAACCAGGCAGTTTGAAACACTCCACAGCTTGTGCTTCCTTAAGTCTTTCTGCACCTAAAACATCTTCCCAACACCCATCTTCTCCCCATGGAAAAAAATAACCTGTCCATTTTTCTGTATTCTGCATCTTGTGTGTCCAGTTAATCAGATTCTTTTGTTTCCACCTCCTGGATGCCTCTCACACGTGTCCTCCTGTGATCCTGGGTGATATTGCCCTAGTTCCAGAATTCGTCATCTGCTGTCACGGCTACTGAAATGGCCTCCTGCCACCAGTCTTCTCTCGTCCGTCTTCTTTGCCACTGCAGCGATTTTTCTCATGATGTGGCTTCTTTTCTCAGAATAACCAAGTAGCTACTCGCTATCTAGGATGGGAGCCCCTTCTTCATGTTGACTCTGCCTCCCCTGCCAACCTCATTGCCCACGTTCTCCCCATATGCCTCTCTGTCGGCCACAACAGACTCCCTGATCTCTCAGCCTGTGCTCTTCTCTTTTGCTCCCTGGGCCCAGCCTTGTCTTCCTCCCAGATTTGTTCACATGTCACCAAGTATCACTCAGCGACGGCACTGATTTCCTGGTGAAGCACCCTCAGGCTCCTGAAGCATGCTGAAGTACTCATTCCTCTGTGCCTCACACACTCCCTTAGCTCTGGCTTGTTTCACTGGGTACTCTAATCCTTGGAAAACTTCTCTTTTAAATCATAAGCTGCTACGGATGCCTGGGTGCCTCAGTGGTTGAGCATCTGCCTTTGCCTCAGGTCATGATCCCGGGGTCCTGGGATCAAGTCCACATCCGGGCTTCCTGCAGGGAACCTGCTTCTCCCTCTGCCTATGTCTCTGCCTCTCTCTGTGTGTCTCTCGTGAATAAATAAATACAATCTTTATAGATAGATAGATAGATAGATAGATAGATAGATAGATAGATAGATAGATAGATGCTTGAGCGAGAGACTGCAGCAATTCCTATGTGTAACACTCCTGTCCAACATAATTCCTCCCACATGCATATAGTCTGCACTCCCCTCCGTAAACATTGAATAACCTAATTAACGGGTTTCTCTAGATTTTTCAGTTTTATGTATAGTTTTTCTTTCTACCTCATAACTCTAAAGGAGATGAGGCTAGTGGTATCATCCTCTTACTATAGAGAAGGAAATTAAGGTTTAGGAACATCGACTTTGTGCACAGTATGTGGGGACGCCTTTACACGCTGCCAGATACCATAATGTATGATAGTTTTTCTTTATCCCCCACACACGCTCTAATTCCTTAGTTAGATTTACTCCACTTATGAAGCATTGTTCCTCTAAGATCCCCAAGGGATTGGGATGCCTGGGTGGCTCAGTGGTTGAGCCTCTGCCTTTGGCTCAGGTCATGATCCTGGGGTCCCGGGATCGAGTCCCACATCGGGCTCCCTGCAGGGAGCCTACTTCTTCCTCTGCCTATGTCTCTGCCTCTCTATGTGTCTCTCATGAATGAATAATAAAATCTTTAAAAAAAAAAAAAAAAGAAGGAAGGATTATGCTCAGTTCTATAACATTATCGCTGCAACCACCTAGTTAGATCCTTCACTCAGCCCAACAGTCCTTATTGAATTCATTCCATGTGTCCATACTACAGTCCTTGAGAGACATAAAAGAAATATAAAAACCTCTTTTCAAGCAACTCTTGATCTCTTCAAAGAGATGACTGTTCCACATGAAAAGAACTGAGTAAGGCAAAGTGCTGATTTCTGGTCAGAATATTACATGAAAAGTTAAAAAAACAAATAATAAAGTAAAATGTAGAATCATGAAATTGTCAGAAAAATATCTGTAGGATTCAGATGTCTGGCTATTTAAGGGAACTTGTATTGTTTTAGAAACCTCTTATGATAAGTTTGAATATAAATCTTGCATATAAGTAGGATGACCATATGATTTCTCATCCAGAATAATACTTTTGACAGTAAAAGGAAGGTTATTAATAATTATTCATGGGCAGCCCGGGTGGCTCAGTGGTTTAGCACCGCCTTCAGCCCAGGGCCTGATCCTGGACACCCAGGATCGAGTCCCATGTTGGGCTCCCTGCATGGAGCCTGCTTCTCTCTCTGCCTGTGTCTGTGTCTCTCTGTCTCTCATGAATAAATAAATAAAATCCTAAAAAAAATTTATTATTCATAATTACTGGTACAATAAGAATAAAGTAGGACAAATGTTCCTTGTATGTAGAAGAGATAAATAAGACATAATTTGAAGCAAAATAAGAGGACTGAAGAGAATCGTGTCATATTTCTCTTTGTAGCTCTCCAGCTCTTAGCACAATGCATCATGCAACTAAATGCTTACCGAGATCAGCAGTACTTTGCAGTCTCTCCCTCCTGTATTTCCTGTTTCAGGTTGAGATCTTTGTAATGCTATCTTTAGTTTTATACTTCAGTATGATTAACTCTAAAATCATCTTATTTGAATGTGAAGACAGTTTAAGTAGAGCTGATATAATCTGATCGAACCAGCCTCCTTTTATTCTATTCTAGATTCAACATATTTTAGTCGCTTTTTGAATGTAGAATGGTGACATGGCACGTTTTAACCTCATTTTAAAATGCAAAAGCCTCCAAACTAAGAGTTTGCTGTTATAGTATCTACATATTTTCATCCTGGTGACACACCTAGGAGGTATCCATAACTTGACTTAGAGAGTCCACTGTTAAAAGCATGGCTACTTTCTAGGGGAGCTTAAAAACAACTTATATCTAACAACAACGGCACCCTTGGAGACATCTTTAAAACATTTAAATGTGGCATTACTTAGTTTTAAAGCTTGCATTAGGAGAAATGTCATCTCTAATCCTATGTATGATGCTGTCAGCCGGCTAGTGAAGGCCTGTTGGGACCTTCACAAGGCCTGGCTTCTTGTGACATTGAACTCCTATTAAGAAGGACAGCATTTTCCCATCAAATTAAAAAAAAAAATAGTAATAAAGTATAACTCTTGCAAACCGAGTGTGTATTTGTGTTTTTCTCTCTTCTGGCTTATGCAGGTCATGCAGTAGGGAAAGGAAATAGTCAGGAGGGAGCTTGTCTGGAATTTCTGGCCAGCAGAGTGAACAAGGTCATAATTCTATAAGGCAAAATATTCATATCACAAGCTACAAAGTTATTTAATTATGAGTCTAGGTACCCTGAGGGGCATTGGGTTTTCAAGCAGGTCTTAGAAGTGTCTTGTTCAATGCAACATGTTAAAACTCAGGTCACATAACAATATTTAGTGATACGTGCCCTTTTATATTTCCTGTTTTGGAATATATGTTCTCTTTACATGTAGTGACTAGGATATTATGATGAAGGATATTATGCTTATTTTTTTTTCAAAACAAAAACGAATATAATGATACATAAATCATTCAGCTCGCCATCCTTTTGGGTTCAAGAAATGAGTCCAAAACAAAAGCATCTCTCCTACCCTGGTCCATA